TAGAATCACCAAACCCGCCGAAAACTTGTGCCCTTGGGTAGTTTGGCCTCCTAACAGGAGTATCACATCCGCTCGACCGAGAACTGCCTGGCGCCCTAGCAATGATGCCCAGGATCGCCGAATCCGCCGAAAGTTTGTGCGCCGGGGTTTTCCGAGCTCCTAAACACGAATATCACATCCGCTCAACCTAGAGCTGCCTCGTGCCTGCGCAAAAATACCAAGAACACCGAATCAGCTGAAATTTTGTATACGGGATTTAGCGCAATCCCTGGTTACTTCGATGTGACGACCGAATCTGTGACGTTTGTGCGCAATGAGAAGCACCTACGTTTGTCTTCTCCTGGGGCTGCCTCCCCAAAGGGGATTGCTTCCTCTCCCATGCACAGCCTTATCAGAGCGATAAATGGCACTGGCGTTAAAAGAGCGCTAAATGGTGCCGATTGCGCAAATGAATGCCACGCTTCTGTCATCATCAAAAGTCATCAAACCTTATGGGCCAAGCTTCACTAAGAAATTGTTTGACTAACTATGAAATGCATCACATATGGCACTATTCACCCTTTACTGCCCTGCCCCAATCTTCCGAAAACAGGCCAGTTTGTGACCGATTTTTTCTGCGTTGGCAGAATTGGCTGAAAATTTGTCTCCTGGGGTAGTTTGACTGCCTGAACATGAATATTACATGCGCTAAACACGAAACTTCCTGGCGCCGCCTGTGTGCCGCAATCGCCGACGCCAAAACACCTTGAATCACCAATCGCTAAAAACTCGTTCTCAGGGGTACTCTGATCTCTTGAACACGAATATCATATACGCTCACCCTGAAACCTCCTGGCTCCCACTCTACAGGCGCTGGCGCCAAAATACCAAATATCACCGGCGCCTGTGGCGCGGGCGTTAGGTTTCGGGGTATGCGAATGTCATATTCGCATTCAGGAGATCAAAATACCCTAGGAGACGAGTTCCCAGCCAATGCTGCCAACGCAGAAAAAAGTCGATCAGAAACTGGCTCAATTGTGGATGGTTAGGGCAGTAAAGCGTAATTAATGCCTCATATACTTATTAGCTTTGATTTTTACAAGGTTTTCATTATTCATACACCTTTTACTTCTTTTAACATCGAATTTGCAGAGCAAGTGCCATTTTTTTTCTCTCATAACATCCTGCTTCGTAGTGCGGACCGTCGCGAAAGTCTTGTCGGAGTAGTGTCGGATGCGCCCGACGTCGGGGAGTTCCATTCGATTCTTCAAACAAGTTTGAGTATACAAAATCTTTTCCCGGCACATTGTATTCAGCGCTCTTTCGTGTCGAGCGGATGTGACACTCGTGTTTAGGAAGCCAGTCTATCCCAGAGCACAAGTTTTCGGCGGGTTTGATGATCGTGGGTATCCAGGCAATTCTAGGTTGAGCGATGTGAAATTCGTGTTCAGGAGGTCCAACAACCCCGAGGCTTTCAGCGGATTCGGCGATCCTGGGCATCATTGCTAGGGCGTCAGGCAGTTCCAGGTCGAGCGGATGTGATACTCCTGTTAGGAGGCCAAACTACCCAAGGGCACAAGCTTTCGGCGGGTTTGGTGATTCTAGGTATCCTGACGCCAGCACCCTGGCGCGGGCGCTTGGCAACTCAACGCAAATTAATGTGATTCCCGTATTCAGAAGGTTAAACTTCCCTAGAACCGAGTTTTCAGCCAAATCTGCCCCCATAGAAATAGCCGGTCAAAAACTGGTTTATTTCTCGAAAAATCGGTGCAGCAATAGTTAATAATAATAATAATAATAATAATAACTATAGTGACAGTATAATAACATGCTGAAACTCACTAACTTCTAAAAACATTGTCCTTAAACAACAAGTTTTGCACAGAAGTAATGAGTCTGGCGTGTAATGTAGTGTGATCGTGCACCCGACATCAATGTTTTTCACTGGACGCGCAAATTTCGGGGGTACGGTACGCCGCCTGACAACCTGAACTTATAATCTTGTGTGTCCAGGTAGCTATCCATGGGTGACTCCATACTAGAAGTTTCGCAGCTGTTTGGAGGTGACATGAATTCCAAACGTTTTCTCCAGTCAGGCTGCGACTGGAGATGGCTTCATATTTTGGTGTACGTGGAGGTGATGGGCGAGGGCCAGCTCCTGCTTATCGAGGAACATCTTGGGTATCTTCCGCCCTGGTACTCGTATCCACGTCCTCTGTCTGGGCAGCGAAAACTTTGCTTATAGGTGACTCGGTCAAAGCGACTTTTTTTGCCCCCCCCCTGTACACCACAACTTCAACAAGTCCATAGGGTTGTTATGGACCTATCTAGATAACTGGCTGCTAACTACAGGGTTGGCCATAATTATAGCGACAAGACTTGCTGCAGTTAGCGTACATTCTGTCGCGCACATTAGCGCGCCAGTTTTATGGATTTTTCAATCTCATCATTTTTTCTAACTCCTGTTAAAATTTGGTTAAATTTGGTCCATTCATAGTGAAATGGTGAAGCCTTCTTCCTGATCGTTCCGCTAGTTCGTTCTGCACAAAGCCGGCCCACCCGCCACGATCGCTAAGCACCTCGGCATCCACCGCAGCGTCGTGTATCGCACACTCCAACGTTATCGAGACCTTGGTGGACTCCAAGACCGCCGAAGAAGTGGAAGACCTCGTACTGCTCGCACGCCGAAGGTCGTCGAGGCCGTCAGAAAGCGGATAGCAAGAAACGCGACTCGGAGCATCTCGACGATGGCTCGCGACATGGGAATCTCGCGGAAGTCAATGGAAAGGGTCGTCCACGAAGACCTTAAGATGTACCCCTACCGTACTCGGAAGGCTGCTACCTCAGCGCCTCGAATCAGCATGCCGCGGGCCCCCCGGCCCGGCCGCGACGTTGAGAAGTGGCCGACAATGCTTCGCTTCGGAACGCGCCAACAAGGGCCACCATTCGATCGTCTTTTCGGATGAGAAGCTCTTCACCGTCGAGCAGCAGTTCAACGCTCAGAACGTCAGAGTGATCGCAAGGAATGCCGAGGAAGCCGACAAGAAGGGAAGAGTCGTTCACCGGGCCGCACACCCTGCCCAAGTCATGGTTTGGGCAGGGGTGTGTGCCTCGGGAAGACGCCGTTGATATTCGTCGACCCCGGCGTCAAAATCGACAAAGATTACTACCTGAAGACGATTCTGGAAGATGCTCTACTCCCGTGGGCGAATTCCCACTTCAACGGCCGCCCGTGGACATTCCAGCAAGATTCGGCGCTCGCCCACAAGGCCAAGGTCGTCCAAGCGTGGTGCAAGACTTCATCGCGGCAGAAGAATGGCCGGCATCGTCACTGGATTTGAACCCACTGAACTTGTGGTCCCTTGAGAGCAAGGCCTGCGCCAGCATATCCCCACCCCCAATTTGGATTCTCTGAAGGCAGCGCTCATCCGAGAATGGGACGAAATCGACGACGCACTCCTGCGTCCGGTCATCGACGCCTTTCCCAAGCGACTCCGCGCTGTCGTCCGTGCCAAAGGTGGCCGAATCGAGAAGTAACTTATGATTGTTAATGTACCAGTTGTTACTTAATAAATGTTATGTTCATGACTCGTTTGCACTTTTGCTTTCTGAGATATAAGGTGAAAACCTTGTCGCTATATTTATGGCCAACCCTGTAATGATGCCGCATGCGCAGGCCCAAAAAAAACAAGTTCGCCGAGGCGGCAGGTTAATAACATATAGGGCCCGTTCATACAGAACGGCCACCGCGGCATCCGTGGCCTCTGCGGAATTTTCAGAGCAAGCAAAGTATACGTATCGATTTGGAAAATTCCGCAGAGGCCGCGGAGGCCGTGGCCTCCGCAGCCTCCGCGGCCTCCGCGGCCTCCGCGGCCTCCGTGCGCCTCTGCGGAATTTTCAGAGCCAGGATAATGTATACGTATCGATTTGGAAATTCCGCAGAGGCCGCGGCCTCTGCGGCCAAGCGCGAAGCGTACGCGTCGCGGCCTCTTCGTTGGGACGCCGAAACTTATTCGAAACTTGATAATCATGCTGTAATCCCGGTTCCGTCTCTGATTTAACGTAGTTTACGTGCATGTGGTAATTTTCAAGAGGTGATTTTGAGTTGGGAGATGGCAGCTATTTTTTTTTTTCTTCAGGCATTCATTGTTGCCACAATGCACCATTCTACACGAAAACCATATTTTTCATCCTCCGGCTTAGAAATCGCTGTGCATGGTGAAAAAGAAAGATTTTCAGAAGCAATTCGAACAAAATCCTGGAAGAAACCCATTTGAAAACATTTCAAATTTTCACCATGCACTTATTGTCCGGGAAAGCATTGTGGAATAGGAAAATGGATGAGAATGAAAAATGGAAAAAAAGTGGAAACGAAATAGCGAAGCCTTACCAGCTTCTGCAATAATTTCTGACCATTCTTCAATTTTTTGGCGTATAAACGCCCTAGCATTTATGCGCATTCTTCGAAAATAGGGAAAAACTGCTTTGTCCCACGCGGCAGACACGCGAAATGGCGCTCGTCGCCAATGGTGTTAAAAAGGACACCTCCAAGGGCGAAATTTTGCTGTAGTTGAGTTCCCATTTGTTGGGACCAGTTGAACCAGATCAGCTGATTGCCATTTTTCAAGGTATTGATTGCGTTCGAGCGTTTGCCGTCTGTATGAACGCGGCCATACCATATTTTCTGCATCATTCAATGCTTTGTCAGCCACTACCCTCTACCTGTTTGCGTTACAGAGTGTTTTGCAGCAGGACCATACAGAAAAGCTCAATGGTCACAATGGTCACATAACCGCCTTTGCACCTGCTTAGGCAGTCGTTCTCTCCCTCTCTGACTGGGCTGGGCTATCTCTACGCGATTCTGGACCTCTGCACTCTCAGCCTTACCCTTGATTAGGGGGCGGATGCACAGTCACAGCGTGTCCTTTCCCTAACTACGTGATAGAAAGTTTCGCTGTCGAACTCGTGCTATCAAAAACAAACTAGTTCAGGACTTTCTCCCGCTCCCCAGGCTCGCCGTTTTAACACGCGCCCGACGTGCCACGCGCCCATCGAGTCAGTGCACTGAAACATACATTAATCATTGTCGGAAGCAGCATAATATGGCGACTAAAACTACCCCAAACTCGTGAAATCAAATGAAGCGCGATACGGTAGCAGTGATTCCTTATTAGGAAGGTATTAACGTAGTCAACAAAGAGGATTTCATATATACTATGAAATCCTCTTTGTTGACTGCGTTAACACCTTGCAATGTATTACTAGCTAAGAATACACGAACAGCTTCGAAACACTTGGTGATCATGTATTTTTAGGCATTTATCGGTAGACTATCGTGAAGACTATCAGAAGTTCGTATGGGTTTGTTAGTACTTACTTATCTCTGTTGAAAAAAAGTAGAACTGTACTCAACTGGATAACAGCCAGGATATGCTTGAAATACGTACGTGTGTGCTGAATGTAGAGAGGTTATGCAGGCATGGCCAATGACGGAGGCAAGCATGGACTTTGCGAAGAATCGGGGTGTCTGGTACCAACCTCTCCCCTTCTCCACTGAAAGGGGTGTTCGCGGGGTTTGGCTACGACGCCTCCTCACTTCCCTCCCCCCCATAGTGACCGTGGAGTGTGCAGAGGTGTCTGCTGTACGCGTCAGGATGCCGCTCTATATATTGCGTATTATGCGGATTCTACCAAATAAGTGGCTGTCTTCTTCTTCTCCCTAGCGTTAGTCCCGCGCCGTCGCAGGGTCCGCTGTTCTTGTTAGACGTCGCCACTTGTTCCGATCCACTGCATCTTCTGCCGTGGCTTTCACTTCAGTGAGGTCCTTCTTGATGACGTCCCTCCATCTTTTCTTTGGGGCTCCTCGTGGTCGCTTGCCCTCTTCTTCGAAGTTCAATGCCTTCCTTTACTGGTGGTCTTTGGTCTCCTCAGCAGTGCCATACCGTCGTCGTCCGCTGCCCTTCAGTGTCCTTCAGGCTGAAAGTTAAGCCGTCTGATGTGACTGCCGCTTGACGTCCTCGTTCCTGAGTCTGTCAAGTCATGTCAAAAATGCAAGACCATCGCAACGTCCTTCAAGCAGCTGAGTGGAGCTGCCTTTTATGGTTCTTGCAGATGGGCCAGCACTCACTACCGTAGAGCATTGTAGGCCTTACCACCGCCCGGTACACCTTGCCCTTGAGCGTTCTCGAGCACCGTCGGTCGCATAGGATGCCACTGGACTCCCTCCATTTCATCCAGGCTGCATTGATTCGGGCCTTCACCGCCTGGTCCACGCTGCCATCAGCTGCTAGGTCGCTCCCCAGGTACTGGAAGTCCTCGACCCTTTCGATGCTCTCGCCATGGCAGTCTACGATGGGCTCGTTACACTCTTCGGAGTTCAGGAACCTGGTGTTCTTCGTGACAGCCGAAGTCCTTTTTCAGCGAGCAGCTTCCTGCCCCCCCCACCCCGGCAGCACCATTGATCCGTGAGTTTCCTTGCTGTCCGCTATCAGGGCGATGTCGTCAGAGGATAGTTTTCAGTGGTCCCTCCATAAGTTCTTTTGTCATAACTTGAGGAGGAAGAGGAAGGCTGAGGGCTGGTCTTTGGTGTACCCCAACAGTATTGTTTACCTGCTTTGTTAGGCCATGGGGGGTGCGTACATCTGAGCCCCATCGTACATGTCCTTCACTAAAAACCAGGTGCTCCGAAAGTTTACGTTGTTCTAAGCGCTCTCCAGAGTACAGGCCGAGGCAGGCGGTCGAATGCCTTCTCAAGGTCCAGGAAGGCTAGGTAGCAGGGTCGCCGCTTCTCTCGGTACTTCTCCATCAGCTGTCTGGCGATGAAGATGGCATCAGTGGTGGACCTTTCGGGCATGAAGCCGAACTGTTCCTGCGAGATAGGGACAAGTTCCCTCAGCCTAGTGTTGACCAGGCGCTCGTACAGCTTCATGGTATGGGGAGTCAACTTGATGCCGCGGTAGTTGGAGCACTCCGTCGCGTCCCCTTTCTTTTGAAGATGGGGACGATTGTGCTGCTCCTCCACGCATCTGGCATCCTTCCTTCAGCCGTTACGTTGTTTAGGAAGTCTGTGAGCCAACTCACCCCATGCTCTCCAGGGCCTTCCATGCCTCTATCGGTACCCCGTCTGGACCCACTGCTTTCCCATTCTCCCTAGCTCTCGGCGGACTTCATCCTTCGTCCAGGGAGTGATGGGACCTGCCGTCGCCTCTATCTGTGGGCTATCCTTGCGGGGGAATTCTTCGTTCAGAAGTCCCTCGAAGTATTCTTCCCACCTCTTTCTGACTTCGGCTGGTTTCCTGAGAATGGCCCCGTTGCTGCTCTTCACAGTCTTTACGACCCTGATGTCCTGAGCAGCGCGATGCCGAGCTTTAGCCAGGCGGAAGACGAACTTGTCCCCTTCTCGGCCTTCCAGCTTCTCGTACAGGGCGTCCATTTCCGTATTCTTGGCCTTAGCAACGGCTGCCTTAGCGAGTCGCTTGCAGCTCTTGTAGGCAGCGTAGTCTTCTGGGCTCCTTGTCTTTTGCCAGCGTTTGTATGCTTCCTTCTTCTGCTTGACGATCCCTGGACTTCCTCGTTCCAGAACCAGGCTGCCTTGTCTCCTCTGATACCACCTCGCGTCTCTCCCAGGACTCCCTTGCACACTGTAGGATGACCTCTGCTGCGTAGGTCCAGGTGTCCTGGACTGGCCCATGTGGGTCTGGGAGCCCAGCCTCCAGTATTCTTCGGCCGAGGCTATCCTTGCGCATTCTCCACCACCGAATTCTCCTCTGCTCTCACCCTCGTCTTCTTGGGGAGGTCTATGGCGATGTCTGCCAGGAGAGGCCTGTGCTGAGGGCCAGCTCTTAGTGCTGAGGTTCCAGCTCTCCTACAGGCAGTACCTTCAGATCCTTGGCGGTTTTGAGGAACGACCTTCTCACCAGGACATGGTCGATTTCCGTTCGAGATCTTCAGCTATGATGAGGTAGTCATCTTCCGGAACCAATCTTATGGCCTCGTCCAGGGTCAGATAGAATTCATCCTTCTCTGAGCAACCGTACCGTGGTGCGATCAGTGCTGTCCAGTACCCTCCTTCGTGTCCATTCTCACTCCCATGATCCGATCACTGATCCTGTTCACAGTGGAGACGCAGTCCTTGAGGGATTCTGCCACCGCTATGGCCACGCCATTCCGTTTGGTGTCTGCTCCATTGTAGAAGAGTTTGACACCTTCTCCAATCTCGCGGGCCTTCGCACCCTTCCATCGCGTTTCCTGAAGGCATAGGACTTGGATATTCCTGCGTCTCATGAGGTCGGCAACCTCACGAGACTTCCCGGTAAGCGACCCCACGTTCAGGGTCCCAATTCGAACTAGCTTCTTTGGCCGAGGTCGTTCACCCCTCGGTAGCCCTCGCATACTGACCACAGAACTCGGGCGAGGGTTCTGCGCGCCACTTCCGGGTGACGTCCTAGCTTTAACACTGATAGTTGACTCATGATTGTTGTCACGGGTTCCTATATTAGCCGGGCCCCGTATCGTCCCCATTTTTGCAATTTTTGCAAGGCATGGTTTGTGCACCGGCATGGATCGAAATCGTGGCTCAGAGTGGGCAGGGATAGCCGAGTGGTCCAGTGGTTAAGAGTGCGGAGATGAGATTCCGTACTCTTGACCACTGGACATGAGTCCGCACTCTTAACCACTCGGCTGTCCCTGCCCAAATTAGTGGCTGAGTATCCTAGAACATTTACCAAACTATTCGAATAAAATCATAGAAGACTGAAGAGATTGATTTCTAAAAAGTAGTGTAATGCACAAGGAGGAACTTTGAAAAATTTCAAAGAGAAGCCGTACCAAACGGAAACAACACTAAGCCGAAGTGTAGAGCGTTCTCTGTGAGGCGCGTATTGAGGGTGAAGCGCTGTCGGTCTATTGCATTCACCTAATATTTTCTGAGGGTATAACTTAACGGAATACGTTACAGGTTTCAAGCTCGCATGACGGCTCCTGCCTAGAAAATATCGTGGAGAATTTTGGGCGGACACAGGCTCTTCACTCTTCAATGGAAATTCCATTCAGAAATAACATATAACAGAGATCTAAACGGCATTGAGAACTAAAAGCAGAATTTTCTCTCTCTCTTCAACGAGTGCAACATCTTTGCTGTAGCCTAATCAGCGAAAATTCGTCCCTCGCCGGTTTCCATTTAAAGTCTCCTTCAACTGCAACATGAAGTTCTCCCCCCCCCCACCACCACCACTGCAGAGCCCCTATTCCATCTAGAAAGCTTCATTCCACTGTATATCTCCTCCTCAGGAGGTGAACACTAAGTGCAGCTGATCAACATCTCCATGGAATGCTCTATGTACACGACTTCTTTTCCAAACGCATCACTCATCCTGCAACTGAGATTAAGTACGGATCTCTGCCAATAGGGCCCTTCCCCTTCTTGAAGGGAGTCGTGTGCGGTTCCCTCGTCGCGGATTCCGCGACCTATGCTTGACTCTGGCATGTCTTGAACCGTCCCTGGCAATGATACAGTCCATGTTTTCTGCTCATTATTGCGCTATGCCACACGTCATTTCATTTGCGACGACCTTCTTCAACTGTCACAGAATAGCGAACCTCTGCTACATCTGCACCTCTTAGTATATTGAATTATCACCAAAATAAATACAGAAATTGGTAACCTGTTCAGATAGGCCACACAGGCGAATGCCAGTTTTTCGTTCCTACGTTTACTTCAGCACTGTGCATATTCGAGGTGAGAGAAAAGTGACAAGTTGAAGCTAATCTACTCAATACCGATTTTGAGGTGCAAGACTTTCCATTCGATGAACAAAAATGTTCCATTGAACTGATGTCACAGTCATTCACGCCTCAAGAATACGGTTATAAAACGGAACTGTTTCCGAAGCTCCTGACGGAACTGCACTCCCTGGTTCAGTTTTGATCCTTTGACCGCTTGATCTTTCAGGTTTATGCAGTAATTAAAGTCAAAAATCATGTTTAGGGTAGTGGCGAATGGAAGGTGACGAATATTTCCCTGTATTCACAGTTCTACGATACCGGTAATGAAGACACGGATTATGAAGTTGTAAGATCATTCCATAATATTTCCTGCCTATAACGCTAAGTCTATAACGGCTTCTACCAGAGCATTGCTTTGCGCAGGAAGGTTTCGATCCTGTAAACTGTGGAGAACTGCTAGCTACCTTAGCCGCTGCTCTAAAACCGGCTCACTTGGGGACTCTGACATCTGAGAAACCATAATAAGCGTCTGAGCAATATTCACCTACTTGTCTGAAATTCACTATAACAAGGTTTGCTGCTCTCGTACAGTCCTTTTCGCTGCTTCGATGGGACGCTCAGTAAGGTTGAGTTCGGTTCGCCACCCACCTGTTCTCCACCAGTGTGAAAGCGGATGACGACAACAGACAGCGATTTTAACTACATGTAGATACTAGTTTGGCCGCTGCAAAAACACTCAGCGAAGGGAACGGGCTGCGCCACAGCAAAACAATCTCGCGCACGGCCATACATTTCGCAACAAACAAACTGTAACAGTTCCTAGTAAAAGCCATCGAAGCCTACGTCCGTTTCATATCAAAAAGAATGTCACATTGAAGAAAAACGCAGATTTCACTTACATTCAAGAATCGCCCTGAGGTGGCTATATGCGGGGTTCGGTACTTGTAAATGAAACGTGGCATAGTCAAGTTCTTTGGAATATTTTATATCGTTACTATTAGGACATGGACAAAGACTTGCCCAATATAAGCAAGATACGGTTGTCCCCGAATATGCAGTATCCCGCAAGTGACTATCATGTGCATACGCTCAAGTACGCCACGCTACTGCGGCTCGCCCGTAGGCAGGATAAGGATTGTACCATTTTCCCCCCCACCCCTTTTACAATTTCGCCCTTTTCAAAAAAACCAAACATTCGTCCTTTTTCAAAACAATTCTCCTTTTCAACCAAATTCGTCCTTTCTTCAAACCAAATTCACCCTCACTCTTCATCAAGAACCACACTTATTAGGGCGGGCAACTCATCAACCAGATCACGCCAGACATCACTGCGAGCCCCGCCCCGACGGCCACGCCCACTTGTCAATCAGGCGGATCAATAGATTCTCAAATCTTGTTTCTAACTTCTGGCTTGTGGGCTGTTTCCCACCACCGCATTTGACTTGGGAACAAACGTGACATTCACACAATGGCCGACTCGCGCCGAGCATTCTCTAAAGGCTTTGGCACTCCTAGGTTACCACGCCACTGGCTTTGTCGCGACTGGAATTTAGATGTTTTTTTCAAAATTTTTGCAATTTAGGGTTGCTGCGTGAAGCCCCGCCCTTTGTGAGATGCTCCGCCCACTTTGAATAAGCCCCGCCCACTTTTCAAATGGCGTGGCAGAATGCATATACGGAGACTTGGATTGCATGGTTAGGTCTCGTACGTCACTCGAAGCAGAAAGATGGCGGCAAAGTTTATTGCGCGATGCATCAGACAATACACTAACAATGCAAGCAAGTTCTATAACTGGCGATCTGCATCATTTTAAAAAAGTGGCGGGGGCTTATTCAAAGTGGGCGGAGCATCTCACAAAGGGCGGGGCTTCACGCAGCAACCCTAAATTGCAAAAATTTTGAAAAAACATCGAAATTCCGCGAAAAGCCAGTGGGCGTGGTCAGCCTAGAGTGCCAAACCCTTTAGAGAATGGGCGGAGTCGGCCATGTGTGAATGCACGGTGGTTTCCAGTCAAAGTGGGTTTGTGAACAGCAAAAGCAGAAGTTATGAAACAAGATTTGAGAATCTATGTCCGCGCTGACAAGTGGGCGTGGCCGTCGGGGGGGCTCGCAGTGATGTCTGGCGTGATCTGGTTGATGAGTTGCCCGCCCTAATAAGTGTGGTTCTTGATGAAGAGTGAGGGTGAATTTGGTTTGAAAAGGACGAATTTGGTTTGAAAAAGGACGAATTTGGTTTGAAAAAGGACGAATTTGGTTTGAAAAAGGACGAATTTGGTTTGAAAAAGGGCGAATTTAAAGTGAAAATGGTATTACATCAGTTTTTCGTGTGATGGGCGGTAATTTTCGCTCGTGGGTTGGTGCTTGGACGCGTGCCCTCCAGGAAATAATCCAATCCTTAGTTATGCCGTGCCTTAGCCCCGATAACTTCGGGAATGGCACTGCGGCCAACTTCATCATTGTTACAAAAAAGGCCCCACAACAAATTTAAAAGAGTCTCAAAAAGCCAAGAAGTCCAAAAATCTTACAGTCTTTAGCTATTTATGACAGCATTGCGAAGCACAGCAACTCCGTGAGGCCTATAATTCTTCCTTTTCGGTTCTGACGAAGGTGCTAAGCACCGGAATGTTGCGATAAATATTTAAAGAACTTTTCCAGATTTGCGCCTTCTGAACTCTTTGGAGTGAACTTTTTGGAGCCTCTTTTTATTTTTGCAGATTTAGATGACATGAGCTTTGGGACAGCAGCTCTCAAACTTCATGACTGATGAATCCTCCGAAGGGTCCTCATTACCATGATAAGGAAGCCGTGGCACCATTCTAACTATCCTGGCGTGCAGCAAAAGCCCAATATGGCCAGATTACCTGAGCGGCGTACCTGCTTACCCCTCCTCCCATCAGTCTGTTCCAAAGCTGAAGTCCTCACTTCGTGTTTTTATTTCGTTTCCCCTACCTTTTGGCATCCATAAAACAGTGATAAAAGGAATGGCACGCAAATGGAACTGCAAACATTCTTTACCCTTACAAGGGAACCCCAACAGGTCGATCCGGCCATTTGCAATGAGATGTATATGTGGACGTGTCTTGAGCCGCTGAATCCAAATCTGCCCTCGGAATTTGCGGAACGATTCTCTGAAGGGAGTTACGGACCATTTAATCTCTGCTCTGTTCGCACAAGTTGAGAACGATAACTGCATGCGGCAAGCGGTCGATGGCGTGGTGGATAGGCGCACTGCTTCAGAGACACAAGGTTGCATGTTGGAATCCTTGACTGTCGAAAATTTTGCTCTTATTCAAAACACTTCATATGAGTCCCTAAAACGCTTCTGTTTGGCCAATTTACCTAGTTCTCTGATTTCCCTCAACGGATACGCCAGCTTCGGGCACAACATTACGACAGAACAAGAAAGCAACAACTGGCTGTTTTTCGTGCGGAATGCCACGTGTTGGTAGATCATAATCATGGGTGCTGACCATATCGGGTAATTTTGCACAGAACACGTGGACAGGATTTCGTTCAAAATTAAAAAAATTCATCACCGCTTCTCTCTGAACTGGTGGAGAACTGTAACTGTACCGTGTGTGGGAGTACTTCTGGCACTATTCAACTATTACTACCCCAAGGAGTCAAAATTTTTTTCGCTGAAACTTTGCCCACAGGGGTAGTTCGGTGTCCTGATCACGAATATAGCACTCTTTACGGCGTTGGCGCCAATTTGGCGCTGCCGCATTTCTCACCAAATTCGACGTAAAGTTGCATAGTAGGGTTATTTGATGTCCTGATCACGAATACCGCATTAGTTCTCAGCGATGGCGCCATTTGACGCCAATATGGCGCCGGCGCCTGTAGCGCGGGCTCTAGGTGGTTTCAGACCGAGCGGATGTGATATTCGTGTTCAGGAGGTCGAATTACCCCTAGAACTCAACTTTCTGTTGAATCCGGAGGTAGTAGGCAGAATCGGCAGTAGAAGAATATTTATTAGACGAATGAAACTCAACAAAACAGTGGGGTTTATATACCCCCTGAGATCGACAACAT